CTGATCATTAGAGGAAGTGAAGCATCCACCTCAAGTACCTGATTTTGAGTATCATTAAAGAGCAGGAAATTGCGGCTTATTCTTTTTAGTGCCAGAAAGAAGTGCTTGAAGGATTTTCTTCCTCAGGTGCCAAAAGAACTTGGCTGGCCTTGGGTACTATGTACCTTGAAAGAGGGTATTTGATGCTCTATCAGGCAACAGCATATCTAGAGAAGGCCCAGTTTGCAACTGAGCTATGGACTTTTGCTTGTGGAGTACACACAGGCAGACTAGATAACAGCCATTGCTAAGCCCAACTTTAATGATTCATTTTTCCTCCTATAGCCAGCTGCCAGTAATAGATCCATTAGCCATAAGTACCGTAACTAAGAATGAAACATCTATGTTCAAAGGCAAATTGGGCAGTCTTTGAGCAGTGCTAGTTCAGCAAGGGTTGGCAAATTTTAATAATATTCTAATTGTCTTCTCTTACTCTTTCCAAGTTCTAAGCTGTTCAAGCTAACAAATGGTGACTCCCGTCAGCACAAAGCTGTTTAACAATATAAAAATGTCCTTCAAAATTATCTAAAACACTTGGGGCCTGGATCCAGAGAACTACGTGGCTAATTTGACACCCAGAGGGCTTTTGTATTGATCAGTCAGTCCTCATCACCACAAGCCTGTTCAAGGAGCATTTAAGTATAAAGAACTACTTATACTCAATACTTTTCAAGCCGCTTAGCCAACTAGCTCAAATACTGTGTGCGGCCTCCATTCACTTCTCCCCGAATACAGCAGTTTAAGCTGTGGAACCCTAGGGTGTTAAAATATTATTGTAGCTCCATTTTGCTTCCTTTAATAACTTTAAATAATAATAGTAATAACAACAACCCAACAAATGTTATGGGCTACAACTCCGACATCCCTGGCCATGCTGACTTGGGCTGAAAGAAGCTGGATCCCAACAATAGCTGTAAGAACCCCAATTATCTAATTCTGTTAAAGCTAGGACATTTCAGCTCTGAAGTAGTAAAGAGTTTGAAAAAGATCACTAGTTGAAGCCTGTGTGTTCTATTATTCCCTTGTGGGTATTTTTGGTATTGTTTCATCTGTTTCTGGATAGTGTAGGACTCTGGAGAAGGGTTTGCTTTAAACCCAAATAAGAACAGACTTTCATTTATTATAGTGTATAGAATCATAGAATCATAGAGTTGGAAGAGACCACAAGGGCCATCGAGTCCAACCCCCTGCCAAGCAGGAAACACCATCAGAGCACTCCTGACATATGGTTGTCAAGCCTCTGCTTAAAGACCTCCAAAGAAGGAGACTCCACCACACTCCTTGGCAGCAAATTCCACTGTCGAACAGCTCTTACTGTCAGGAAGTTCTTCCTAATGTTTAGGTGGAATCTTCTTTCTTGTAGTTTGGATCCATTGCTCCGTGTCCGCTTCTCTGGAGCAGCAGAAAACAACCTTTCTCCCTCCTCTATGTGACATCCCTTTATATATTTGAACATGGCTATCATATCACCCCTTAACCTCCTCTTCTCCAGGCTAAACATGCCCAGCTCCCTTAGCCGTTCCTCATAAGGCATCGTTTCCAGGCCTTTGATCATTTTGGTTGCCCTCCTCTGGACACGTTCCAGTTTGTCAGTGTCCTTCTTGAATTGTGGTGCCCAGAACTGGACACAGTACTCCAGGTGAGGTCTGACCAGAGCAGAATACAGTGGCACTATTACTTCCCTTGATCTAGATGCTATACTCCTATTGATGCAGCCTAGAATTGCATTGGCTTTTTTAGCTGCCGCGTCACACTGTTGGCTCATGTCAAGTTTGTGGTCAACCAAGACTCCTAGATCCTTTTCACATGTACTGCTCTCAAGCCAGGTGTCCCCCATTTTGTATTTGTGCCTCTCATTTTTTTGCCCAAGTGCAATACTTTACATTTCTCCCTGTTAAAATTCATCTTGTTTGTTTTTGCCCAGTTCTCTAAACTGTCAAGGTCGTAGATCATTCCTATTTGATATGTATTTCTCCCCTAAATTTCCCAACCAGGAAAGAATCAAAATATATTTAGGGCCTTGGGGTGCAGCTGACATCTGAGCTGGTATGCCCCAAGTATACAGATATAATCAGGGATCAAATATATCTTGGTTTTGTGGGGCTTAGGAAACAAAAACCATCACTGATCAGCTTCAACAAAATCTATTACATGCATATCTCAGTTACACGTAGGAAAGAAAAGAAGCTTAGCTGAGACATTGTAGAATAACTGAAGACAGGTTTTCTGCAGGTCTCACGCTTAACTATATGCAAATCAATAAATTTTCACTGGCCCAACTTTCCATGGTTATTACGTAGGCATCCCTTTCAAGTAATCATTTACTCGATAGAATGAAAAGGTAGCTATTTCTCTATCAAATATAACAAGTAGGGCATAATACATCTTGAATCTCTTAAGGTACCATCCTTAAGTCTAAGGAGGGAATCCAGCTGCTCTCTCTATTTTTTCCTTTTTGTTTGCACATACATCGGGGTGTTTGAAAGGGTTCATCTACCATCCACAGAAGGGAGACAGGATCATTCCCTACTTTGCTTTTAAAGAAAATTGACTGTTTCAGAAAGGTTGTACAAGGAAACTATCAAAAAGAAATCCAACTATGATCAATTTAAAATATTTCTTTTTGAATGCTTGGCACATCAAGACAGGAAAAGGTTCTTAGAACAATTCAAGTATTTTTCTTGGGCAAGCAGACGAAGTTGAAACAACATTGCTTCTATGCAAATACTCAGGGAGGAAACCGGTACCTTGCATAACACACAGCAACAAATATTGAGACAGTGAGAGCCAAAGCTACCTGACAGACAAAAAAGGCTGCTCTCTTTAGGCGCAATAAAAATAAGCTATTCCATTCAAGACTGGTTAACAATGGGGAGCCCTATGAAACACATTTAGGGGGTGCAGGGGGAGGCAGAATCACCAAAATTTGCCTGCCTCCCATTCATCTGATGTATTACTTCTGTCGGAAGACTTCACTGGACACCACCCAATCTCTTTACAGAAATTAGGACTGCATAATCTTATTGATGTAATGCAAGTTCTTCTTCCAGACTTCTTCTAAAATATATCCACTTTCCCTTTTGCAACATACTCTGCTTCTATCAATGAGACACGAAAAAAGCATTTGGCAGTAGTTGGGGCCCCGTGCTCTAGTGCATTGCATGTCACTTCTACAAGGTCTATTGCCAGGGGTACCTAACTTGGTGCCTCCAGATGTTGCTGTGCTACTTCTCCCATCATCGCCAACCATCTGCCAGGCTGGCTTGGGCTGATGGAGGTAGGAGCCAAATGAAATCTGGGGGGCACCATACTGGTACCCTGAATATAGCAAACTTCAAGGAGCAATACCCTTCATATGTTCAAGGTATATACTCTCTGCAAGTAGGATCTCACACCAAGATATGGTTAGAGGTAAAGGTACCCCTGCCCGTTCGGGCCAGTCTTGCCAGACTCTAGGGTTGTGTGCTCATCTCACTCTATAGGCTGGGAGCCAGCGCTGTCCGCAGACACTTCCGGGTCACGTGGCCAGCGTGACAAGCTGCATCTGGCAAGCCAGCGCAACACACGGAACGCCGTTTACCTTCCCGCTGGTAAGCGGTCCCTATTTATCTACTTGCACCCGGGGGTGCTTTCAAACTGCTAGGTTGGCAGGCGCTGGGACCGAACGATGGGAGCGCACCCCGCCACAGGGAATCGAACCGCCGACCATGCGATCGGCAAGTCCTAGGCGCTGAGGTTTTACCCACAGCGCCACCCGCATCCCTTAAGATATGGTTACAATTGCTAATTTAGCAGAAACTGCTGTACCCACTGAGGAGCTTGTCTCTCTCGTCAAGTTTGGAAGCTAAGTTGCCCGGTGGCCAAAATTAGGGATGATCAATTCAAAAATTAAACCGGAGCCAGTGCAGAGAATCTTCAAATGCTTTTCCTGGGGAAAGCTATATGCTGAAAGTCAGATTAGATGCTGGGCTTCAAATGAATATGATCTTGCTGTGACACAGACTCTGTACCCGAAGGTAGTGGTCATATAACTCTTCAGCAAGGACAGCTCCACCCCCTCCCCTTTTCATTCTGTGTTTTCATAAAGCTTGGGGGGGGGTCACTGCTAGGTTTAAAGCCACTTTGGTGCACAGAGGCAAATGGACAGGAATCAAAGGAATTGGGTAACTAGAAAGTAACGTAACCAAACAGTAGTAGGAAGTATGGCTTTGGAAACCAAGTTGGGAGATGGATTTTTAAATCCATATTCAACGTGCCAGTCTGGGGAAGATACCTTCTAGCAACACTACCATGCCTGCTTCAGATACAATTAAGAACTCTTGCTTTTGGAGAGAACACAGAAGCAAGTGGTCTAACCAAATCTGAATTAAAGTTTGCCAGCGACATCCTGCAGTATCAGCAGCCTACATGACCCAAATGGAAACACAAACACTTGAGAGTTCCATGAATCTGTGTTTACATTTAGCCTTGGGTTGTCCTTTCATGCACTTCATTCCGGTGAGCCAGCCCCTAAAGCGCTTAAACGTTAACGTGCATTGCTGATAAACAAAAGAGCTCCTGTAGAATCCAAAAGGCATCAATTCTCCATTCCATTGGTTGTTTAATGGATTTACATCATCATCTAACCATCTCCCACAATTCCCCGTTATTTAAACTAGAAACACCAATTTTAACCACGCCCACTGCATATTTTCTCATTTAAGTCATATAACAATCCAGTATGATTCAAATGGACATGAATTATGACAGATCAATATAAGTAGTCAGTCAAAGCTAACATCTGAAAACTGTATGAAATAAGAGGTTGTACATTGGTCATTTATAAAAATGGCAGTTACAGAGGCAGCAGTTTCACGGTGGCCATTTTTTGTTCAGGAATATGCTTCTTCCTGCATAGAAGTCTTAATTGCGGCAGATCAATATTAGAACTTCAGGCATGAGAAGCACTATTGACAGTTATCTACATTTTACAGTTCAGTCACACTTTTTATTTAATGTCAGTATACAGAGGACAACCCCAGTAAATTATTCTGTAATGTCAAGTATTTAGTAGGGTTCTTCAGCTGAAACAGTGACATAAAACGCTAAAAAATAAGCAGTATGAAACAAACATGATTTTTTTAAAATTATAAATATAACAATACTTATTAAAGCTTCATTATTATTGCAACAGTCAATTTAGTTTAACAATTTGTTATGTTAGAAAGGCTCTTATGAAATTTATTCAAGTTGTCAAGAAATTAGATGGACGTTTATAAAGAAAATACATATGAATTTTACTGTTGATTTTTTTCCACTATATCATTACAATTTTGTACAGTATCACCTAATGTGTCAATCTTAACAAATTCATGTATACAGATTTCATAAATGCAGGAAAAAAGTCTCGCTTTTAAACTTTACACAAGTTATGTGACAGTAAATTAGCTGGTTTTCTTTCTTTAAGAACACAAGCAGGCCAGCAGTTATTCTAAATGCAAATTTAGTAGCTTTAACGTGGTAGGTGGAGACATATACAGTCTTTTCAAGTACATAACTGAGTTCCAAAAGATCAAGCATTTCTGAAAAGTCTTTAGTAAGAATCTTTCCCTCCTAATCTGGACACCCACATAATAAGGCAATTACTCTTTCCTGGCTTCACAGAAGTAACTGGCCCACTCTCAACTGGGCAGCTTCTAAACCTGGTGTACTAAGTCAACACCAATCCCGAGAACTTTGCATGGCAATATTTCAAGGAATCCGAACTCCCGTTTGCAGTGTTTATGGTTCCATATATTCCATTTTATATCATGGCAACCTCAAAATCAAGAACTGATTTAGCAATTCCTAACCATCCCTGAATTTAAAATTAAATCAAACGAAATAAGATAGTACTTCCCAACAGCACTTTATACTTCAGCTCTAACAAATGAAATGCCCTTTGCCAATGAAGATTTAGTAGTAAACGTGACGTCTTCCCGTGCCCAAATAGTAAAACAAAATGTCTGTTAAAACAGCAATGATAGAACTCATTTAAACATGATGCTGTACTATATAGTTCCTGTTTATTGGAAAACTAAAGGACGTTCTATAATTTAACTCTAGATTTTCCCTGTACAATATAGTTCAAATAAATATTCTAAATTTCATGTGCATTTTGTTGTACAAAGTGGTAACACATTTTCTCAGCCAGGGTATATGCTGCCATTTCACTCAACTACTGTATTCATTTGCAGTTGTCCACTCTTTCTTACCAGGAGTTTCCCGGTTAAGTAGTGGCAAGTTCCCCTTGAAATTACATGGGGTTGTAGATCAGGGATAAAGATGCGGTGGCCCTACAGGTTTTGCTAGACTGCAGCTCCCATCACCCCCAGCCTTTGGGCTCTGCTGCATGGGGCTTGATGAGAGCTGCAAGTCCAGTAACACCTGGAGGGCTGCAGATTAGCCTGCTACTGAAAGCAACACCTCCATGTGTGACAGTAGCACTGCAAAAGAAATGCAAAAGCTTCCCTGCCATCTCTGCCATACGATGTAATCGGGAAGGAAATGGCCAAGAGATAGACAAGCAGTTTTGTCTTTCCAGTAGTACAGCATATATATATATATATATTTTTACAAAGTCATTACTGAGAAGTTTTGTTTCCTGTGAAGTAGGTAGTTTCTCCCACAAATTAGTGCACTTCTAAAATGTTGCTGCGGTATGCAACATGGGCTTGCCCCACGTTTTCTGCTGAACATGGTACTTTAGATCTGAACTCGTGTTTAAGTAGCATTTCGAAAGAGAAAGGAAGTTAAGGAAGCTCAAGACATGATGCGAATGCTACACAGAGGTCATAATGTTTGTAGCGTAGATCTTCTTGCTCCAACCCAGCAGTGAGTCTGTCTGTGCCCTATGGCGGGAGTGGGGGGAGATATTGTCCAGTGACATATGAAGGGCACTACATTGGCTTCCTCTGCCCTATGGGTCTCTGAGACTCAAGTCTAGCCAAGTATCAGCCAGACAAAATATGTTTATTCTAGGGAGGGACTGTCCGTACCAGGGATGGGTTAGCCTGCGGCCTTCCAGGTGTGGTCAGACTACAACTCCCATCGTCCTCAACCATCAGCCATGATGGCTGGGGCTGAAGGGAGCCCAATACGAATACCGCAGGTTGCCCACTCCTGCCTATTTGAACCCTGTTCTTCTCAAGAAAATAACATTTGCTTTCCTGACTGCATCAGCCTGGCAGACAGACGGGTGAGGAAGGAAAACGACAGGGTTGGCTCAGTAGCAGTGAGGTTTCAGACTGCGCAACTGGTTGAGTCTTCTGGCCCATTTGCTCCTCAAACTGGAAGTTTGTGGCCCTTCTTTCCAACTCTGCCAAAAGGTGGGTGGGAAACAAATTCAGCAGAGGAAAAGGGCAATGGAAGTAGTTTTCGAGGAGTCTGGGAGAGAAATGTCAACGCGGGAAGGTAGCAGCTTTAAACTCTTTAAAAGCTACGGAACTAAACTATAGGCAAGACTAACATATGCAGTGTATAACCCAAGGGAAAGAAATATGTTACCATGAGTGTTTCTGAAGACTCATTAAATAAGTATAAAGTTTAGTAAGTGCTCTCCTATAGAACGAAAATGGTGCTTATTAACACCTTTCTGGAACAAAGACTTTCTTGGCCAGAGCCATGTAAACATATCACCTAACTTGCTAATTTAGGCCAGCTGAGTGAGCTCACCGACTGCAAAAATAAAGCATAATAATAATTTGAAACCCATTCTAAATAAACACATCCTAAACAATATGGCATTTACATCAGTGTGTGATATTAGTTTTCAAAGACCTAGTGAACAACATCAGCATGAAACTTACCTTTAATTAAAGATTTCCGCATTGGCCAAATAGAGAAATCCTAGCTTTTGGTACTGCATACTTATCTCTGAAATATTTGAAATGTGCTCCAAATCAAATTGTCATTTGCGTGCAAGTTACGACCTGTACCGATTAAACACAACTTCTTTGCAGAATTTTTACTTATTAGAAATGCAAATAGCCAAAGGGTGAATGTTAAGTTACTTTAGAATATAGTAAGCAGAGGGGCTTGGATAGCTACCAACGATAGCTCAGCAATGCACATCTGCAAAATTACCTTCCAAACTGTTTGGCCCCTGGCACAGAAATACACACATTTCCATGATTTTAGCACTTGGGAACATAGACAGTTTTGTCCTTTATCCTTACCATTTGCTTTCCCCCCCGCACGAAAAGCAATGCCATATTTTTCCAGATTGTCTATCCAAGATAAGGCATACAGGTGACATTACATACCAGAACATGTTTGATAAGATTTCACTTAATATATCTAATTATTACATATTTTAGAGAAGCTGTGAATCCTTACAGTCAAAATGGGCATTAATGTCTACTGGAAGAGTGTTAATTTTGTAAAACAGATGCACTTCGGAAACTCTCAACAACACTTTCCAAGTTTTGGAAGATTTAGGAACAAAGTTTAGGAACCTTCAGGAAGATCTCCAGAAGATAACCAGCTGCCATTTAGGGTCTTTTGCTGGTTTATCCATCATAGGCAGAGATCAGGAGAACCCATGTGTGCATTCCAATGCACACACTGGGCTTCCCAAGTCTTTGCTTGCAGCTCTAACCCCTCACACAGTGTTGGGTTCTGAATTAAAGGATGGATCCCCCCAACCCTTATTGGTTCCTTTTGGGGAGCCCCCTCTGAGAAGAGCAAGCCAAAGTCAACCAAACTGCATGCCCAAAAGCCACCTCAAAAGTCTTGGAGCTTGGCCATAGCCTGCAAATTGCCCATGAGTATTTGAAGGCAAAATAATTTTTATCAGTAGAAAGTACTAAATATTAAATAGATAATTTCAGTTTCTTAACATGAAAGAAGACATCACTAGTGCCACATTTTAAGCCTGTGGATTTAATGAAAAATGCATGAATTAAAAATACCTTTAACACAAACGTTCTGTAAAGTGATTAGGGGGTAGAAATGAGTAAGGGATACAATTCACTAGGAAGCTTTTTTTTAAAAAAGTGACCTTACATATTTGGAGAAGATTGATATTAAAGATCAGAATATTACAATGTATATTTAATACCAAGTTTATTCAAATTTTAAATGGCGACACTAAAAACTGCTCTTGAGATGATCACCGAAGGAGGAAGAGACTAACTTTTGGAAAGAAAAAAAAAGTGAGAACAGACCCTGCTTTATGGATTCCTGTCAGAATAAATGTTCCAACTTCAATTTACCCAGAATGCATGTTATGCAAAGCTACAGCTTACGCAAGCTGCAACCAATCCGATATCCTGAATGCCCTTACAATTCTACCCTCACTAGTTGATTTTTTTTTAGATTTGTCTGAATCATGTTATACAAAAATAGCTTTTGAAAATATAGGAAAACTATCACGGACACTTTGGATACACAACACTTCTCCAGCTGGAAGGCAACTGTATTTCAAAAGAACTTTACCTGGGCCAGACACTTCAAATCGTTCAGAAATATGGCATGCAGTATCCAAAAGTATGGCTCTGAGGAAATAATCTTTTCTTTTTTTCCTTTTTCTTTTTTACATTAAGCATAAAGAAATTTTATATTCAACATTCAGTTATGTTTTGAGAAAAACTACCTATTCAAGTTCTACTTCTTTGATGCAGCATTAAGGGTTAAAACTTACCACTTTACCAGGCCTTGCCCATGTGCAAATAAATCCCTCCTGACAAGCAGTGACTATACAGTCTTCAAGAAAAATTAACACAGTCAGTCTTTCGTGTGCTATCTTTTTACAGATAAGAGGCTCTAACAAAGGAACTTCCTCCATTCTGGGACACAGGGGCGTTCCCAAAGTTTTTGCTGGGTCCGTTTTGGTTTTAGTAACTAGGTTCAGTTTGTCACTGCTCTTACTAGATATATGTCCCATACTATGGTTTCGCTTGTGGTCTTTTTCGTGGTGCCTCTCCTTCCGATCATGTAGTGATAAGGTTGCAAACTTACTAACGCCAGAGGCAATGGCGCCGTCCATGACACTGCTTTTACTGCCAGAATTGGAGACGGCAGAATGTGGAAGGCTATTGGACCGTGGAAGAGGAGGGGGCACAGAGTTCCCAGGTGTTGTGATGCTGTTTCCATTACTGCCTGGATTAGCTCCACCGCTTCCTGCAGGTGGGCTGGTTGCATTCATGACATTTGTGTGTGTCCTTGCTCTCGAGAGGGGTTGGTGTGGGAAGAGGATATCTTCTGTTAGGTCCCATAAGCATAGCTGCGTGTCCTGGCCCACTGAACCAAACCTATATGTGACACTTACTGGACGACTGTCCGTAGAGTTCCTTTTAGATAGCCTAGACTGCGTGCTGTTTGCTCGATCCCTTCCAAAATGAAGAAGGTCTTGGAAGTCCTCGTCGCTGCCGCTGAATTCCATTGGGTCGCTTTCTTCTACGCTAGTGGTATACGGATCAAAGGCCACGACGCTGACCCAGGATTTGTGTCCGTGGCCTCTAGCTATCACTCGGCAGTCCACAAAAGACCAGACAGTCACTAAGTCGTCTTCTCCGCCTGTCACGATGTATTTGCCATCGGGGCTCCAACATGCGCACAGCAGCCCTCCAAAGTAGCTTTTCATTGTACCGTGCAACTCCACAGAATCAAAGTTAAATACACGAAGAAAGCCATCCTGGCTTACACATGCCAAGAATTTCCCATCTGGGGAAAAAGCAAATTCGTTCAGGGCCCCCTCGCCTACTGTCCATTTAAGCAAAGGGTTTCGTGTAGATTTGCTCTTGCATGTATGGACTGCAAAACTTTCTCCTTGTTTGAGTAGCTGATAGTGTGGGGCTGTGGTACCACAATTGTGTTCCACGTTATACAAGTACATATTGCCACTGGAATGAGCTACTAGGAAGAGGCTTTCTGAACCAGGAACCCATTTTACACAAGTTACTCTGGACTTGTCTATTAGTCTCTGGAAAACAAAGGAAAGAAGGTACACATCAGAGTCATCTCAGTTTTGATTTTTCATTTAACAAGGTAATTAATTTTCTGCCATTCAGCATTTAATACACAAAGTTATTCTACTTGCAGAAAACAAGCCTATGACTACTTCAGTTATAAGCTACTGTGTGCTTTTCTTACCCCATGTAGATCTGGAGTAACATTACAAGGGTCAGCATGATTTGTGGCAAGCCGCCCTTAACACAGTTCAGTGAAAAAAAGAAAGTCAGGCTGTGTACATTCTGGGAAGAACTTGCTCATCAAATCTGAATCTGACATAGATTTGGGGGGGGACCCCCCTGAAAAGACAACCACTTAATATGTCCTTGGAAAAAGGAACCTGGCTTTAAGGATCCAGAAGAGAAGAAGCAATTTAGTAGAATAATGGGACCACTTTAGGTATTATAGCTCTACCTTACTGAAGTGAAAATAGGAAGGAAGCAGAAGTTATTTCAACAAAAATAATGGCAATTGCAAAGTATGCTCAACTTAAAAAAATACTTTGACAGTCTGGACCTAGGATGGGGAGGAGAGATCTAGTATCTGGGCAAGTTAAAATCTTTGAGCCACTTAACAAATACTGCATTGCTTTTGTGTAGAAGATGTCTAGACATTCAAGGTAATTAGTTACGATAGATGGAAGAGATTTTCAGTTGCGGATTCCACCTTCCAATTACCTGTGCTGGGCTTCTATGAACAACCAATGCAATTTGGCCTGTGGGTTCATTATCTTTAAGTGATAGTAATGGCACTTCTGTGGGTTTTATCATTATTCTGCCAACCTAAGCCATTCAAGCATCACAACAAAAAAGGGAAGAAGCAAATAACAGTAATACCAGGGGGGTTTTTGTAACCAGCTATAAAACTAAATATCCTTCCCTCTCTGGACTGTAGCATGTCTTCAACTGGGACACAACTTATTTTATTTGTTTAACAAAAATTTATGATACAATACTTTTTCACTAGTACAGTGATGTAAAGGCTGCTCACTGAGGGAAAACACTTACTATAATTTCAATAATCCCTGGAGACTATAGGAAAAAAAAATCATCAAATTATGAAATGTGAAAACCCCATCCTAGAGTTCTTGCCCTGTCTTGTTCAATATAGGATATACATCAACGTGACAAATTGTGTACAATGCACAATATGTTAAATGAGCAGCTGTAGCCAGAAAGGGCTGGGATGGTCTAGAGAAGAGTCCATGGAAGGAGGCTGGCAAAAGCTGATTTCCCCTTTGGGCTTCAGGGGAACCTACTGAATAAATAGGGTGGGTTGAGGTATGGGGGCTAATGGATCCCTGATAATCTGGAGTCAGTACAAGCAAAGAAGGTTTGCATTTCCCCGGCGTTAGGGTGGGGGAGAGAAAGGTGGTAATAATAATAATAAAGAAAACAGGACACTTTCCTTTTGTGAAATCCCTTACATTAAAGCTTATTCTGGGATCCAAGTCCAATTTTCGGCAATTACCCCTCCCCGAAGATGCCACCCCCCAACACACATTTCCCCATCTCACATTGTTCTGGAGAGTCTTTTCTCACATGGGTGGTGGCAGGAGAAGATGAGAAACTCTCCTTCTGTAAGCATCCTTAAGTCAACTTATCATAGGATCCAAGCTAGCAAATTTATAGTGAGATGCAGAGTTCTTTACTACTCTTGTCTCAGCAAACTACAAAGAAAAAAACATGCCCGGCCCAAAGTCCACCATATTCTGTTCTAAGGTGACCACTTTCAGGAATATGCCTCCTGAACCCCCGAAAAGTGAAACATTTTCAGTCAATGAAACAAAAGAAGGTTTTATAGGTCTGGCTGACATTCATGAAAACAGGACCCAAAAAAACCCCAACCCAGTTTATATTCAGGGTTACTTAATGATCCACCTTCTAGAATAATTCGACTGAGTCATAATCAATGTTAGACTTCGAGTTAACGATTTTACTCACACAGGTGCTAGAAATGCAAAAATGTGTTTTGAATGTGTTTGCAACTACCTGAGTTGCTATAGCAAACTGCTGAGCATATTTATGAGTGGACAGAAGGCAAGACCTTTAAGCATCAGATTTTAGAGACTCGCTTTAAAGTAGAATTTGTATTCAAATTAAATTACAGATCTCTCTAAAAATCTGGCAGCCAAACATCGCACCATCATGTGGTATACTAATCCTCAACAAGTTAAAACAAAAAAATGCTTCTTTCAAGTTGCACCAGATTATTTTTTTATTATTATTATTATTATTATTATTATTATTATTATTATTATTATTATCATCTATCATCATCAGTAACAAGGCATTAAAGCCAGTACAAAATTGTGGAACAAGGTTTGTGACTTACAACTGCTCTCACAGTGTTATATTTTCTTTACAAACCACTGCAATGAACGATAAACTACACCTAAAGCAAGTTGCAGCACATTTTGTGCTGATCCATCTTTGGAGAGCTGATGATCTGGGGTAGCTAGGTCAGTAGAGGATGAGACTCTTAATCTGAGGGTCATGGCTTCGAGCCCCATGTTGGGCAAAAGACTCCTGCGTTGCAGGGAGTTGGCCAAGACGACCTTCGTGGTCCCTTCCAACTCTACAATTCTGTGATCTTGCCTTGTATGCAAAAGGAGAACAGGGGGAGGTGTTTGGGCACAGTTGTCTTACATTATGAATTACCCACCCCTCTAGAATAGTTACTTAGCAATCCAAGAATCACTTTCATGGTCCCAAAAAGTTTCATAGTTCCAAAACTGTCTTGGGTATGCAAAGGCTGGTATGTATGTCTTCCAGTTCCATTGCATGGTAAAATACTTGAAATTGAGGAAAGCTGAAAAGCAGTAAGCTGTTCAAGCTAAGAAACCACTGAGTGCAACTCGCCTGAAGGAGCTCTTCGGGTGCAGCTGTCCAAGCTCGAAGGTAAACCAAGAACTAATAAATTTATGTTCTGCAAATATGCAAGCTTTTAAGCATTAATATTAACTGAAATAGGTCTAAAGCATTCCATATAACAGTTCATGCAATCATAGAATGGTAGAGTCTACCCATTTCAGCACTGTGTCTACTTTATTTTATTTTTTTGCTGCCACAGGCAAAATTGTTGGGCCTTTGGGAGTCAGATCAACCCCTCACCCTGATGGTTAGTCACCCTTGGATTAGGAGATGACACAGATGTAACGCTGCCCACAGTCTAAGTGCACTGCTATATCCCATACAGTACTCCAGTCTTCTGACAATAAGCAAATGGTGAGAGATTGAGGGTGTGAGAAAAACCACCACCTCTTCCATAGTGCATTACTGTGATACAGCCCCTCTCACAGAATGTGATATAAATGTGCTTTCCCACTTTCAAAGGCTTCCCCTTGTATCCCTCCAAGGTGACTATTTTCAAATGGAAAAACAAACATGCATATGGAGAGCTCATAAAAGAAAATAAACGTTTGCATGCACCAAGATTACGGTATCCACTTACTTCCTCATTAAATAATTTGCTAGTTTCTTTTTTAATAGGATCTATAAGTTGCACCTGGCCTGCAGAGAAGCCCACTAGTAGAGAAACACTTTCTGCCGTGGCTGTTAAATGATTGAAGTCATGACACGTTGGTTGTGTTCCTTTGTATATCCTTTTATCTATTGGTTTACTCAAGTCAGCAGCCTGCAAAAAGATTGAAAATAAGATTAGCAATGAATATAACGGTACTCTAGTGTGCTCTACAGTAGAACAAGTCTGATGTTTGTAGCAACTGTGGCAACAATGCAGGATTAAAACCCAGAGAGAGTTTAGAAACTAACTTTAAGTAGACTATTTGGAAATCATGTACTAAAGGAACAGCAAATTTTTTTGTACAGTCAAGAGTCATCAGGAGGCCAGAATATATCTAGTCACTCATGAACTGACCTCTTCAGAAATGGACACAGTCTATCAAAAGTTGGCACCACCTGGGCTTCCCAGTCAGACAGAACATGCATTCATGGAAAGCATTACACAGTAACATGCACATTGGCAGCACATACAAAAGTTCAAAGAAGTTGCAACTGAGTATGGATATCTCAATTCCTTAACAAGAAGTTCCCTTACTCTGTAAACATAGTGGACCAAAAGTTTTACTGTATATTAACACCTTAGTACAAGATTTGGGTGACATGAAACTGCTGGCAGGTGGCCATCCTTGTTTGAAGCAAAATGTTCCAAGAATCTGTAACTCCAATGTATTATGTGGTGTGCCAATAAGCTTCACACTCTACATGAAATGCATTGCTGCTTCATCTCTGGTCATCAGAGTCATTATCCGTTATCACAGAAGAGTAGTGCAATGGCATAGCGCTTCTGGTTTTGAAGGCTATGAGGTTCATCAGGTACCCCAGATAGGTCACTCCATCAGTCTAATCTATTTTACCAGCTTGTTGAAAGGATAATTCTGCATCTTCCGTTCAGGCCAATTTGTACCAGGCCCCCACAGGACCTGAACCATGTGCCCCTAAATCTGTTCTGGGTATTCCCCCAACCCTCACGAGTAGATTTGGGGAGGATGCAGGGAACACGTAGGGAGAGAAGATGGGAGAAAAGTCCTGTTGGACAAACATTAACCCTTGCACTGGTGGGACAGTTACGCAAGTCAATGCAGTAGGAATACCCAAAACATATGGTAGAAAAAGACTTAATGTTCAGTGTGGCACTGGCACAATAAAATAGCAGCTCCATGTTAAGCTCTCCAACTTCTCATAAATTGAATCTCTCTTACCCATTACACTATGTCATCACATTATGATTTTGCACACCACTGGCTGCCATGAATGAATCTGCAGAGAAGCTCACATTCCAACAGGCTGCAGCAGAGGGAAGAAGAAAAGTAAAAGAGAAGAGCCATTGGCTCTGCTAAGAGGAACTAGCTGTCTTTTGGATTCTCAACTATGCCATAGCAGCAGCCATTCTATCAGGCTGTAGAAGAGGGGGAAATGGAAAGCAAGGTGACACGATCTGCTGTGCTGA